TTTTTTTATTAAATAAATTTGACAAAAACATAATTATTTTTTATTTAAAAAATAAAAAAAAGATATTATGTATAATATCATTTTTTAAATATAATTACTTATATTTATTAGAAAAAGCGAATAAATTAATATATATATATATATATATATATATGTATATATTTTTTTTAACAATATATAATGAATTATTATATTTAAAAAATGCAAAAAATAAAATTATATAAAATATATTTTATATATATATAAAATATATATATTCCATTTTATGGTTTTAATTTATATATATCTTTATTTCGAAGTATGTTTTTTAAAGAAAAAAATAGAATTATTATTAATTAAATACATTTATATCATAATTATATAATAAATTTAATTATAAATTAGTCCTAATATTTATTTATAAAAAATGTATCTTTATGAATATTCTTACAAATATAAATATTTAATTACTAAATTATTTTTATACATGTTCTTTTTTATTAATATATAGTAATGATATTATGATTTATGTAAAAATATAAAATATATTTATTTTATAATTTTTTTTGTATTTTTTTTTTGTATTTTAATCATTTTTATTCAACTTATTTTTTTTCTTCTTCAATGATTTTACTATCTTATTAATATATGTATTTTCTTTTAGTTTTATAAAAAATAAAATAAATAATTTTTTTGTTTAAATTAATGATGAAATATTTTACTTCACTTAAAAGAAAACTTTTGTATTTTTGAGAATATTTTTAAAATATTCTAAAAATTAATTTTTATTATCAAAATAGTAATTTGAACTTATAAAAAAAGAAAAAATATTTTTTTGTTTAATTAAATTTTATTACTTGCATTAAAATTTAAAGTATTGCATTTTTTTTTATTTTTATAAAAAATCTGTAAAATATCCGTATCTATTAAAGTTTTCATTTTATCTTTTTTATTTTTTATGTAAAAAATAAAATATATAAATCAATTTATTTATTTACTTAAAATTAAATTAAAATGATTTTAAATTTTTCATTTGATTTTATATATTAGTAATACAATCTTTAAAATCTTCAAAGCTTTTGTTATTTCTTTTAACACATTTTATTTTTTTAAAAATAAAATAAAAATATTCATCTATTTTTATTTATTTAGGTTTACTAAAATTATAAAGATAAATATTCTATTAAAGGCAAACTTTTAAATGCTTAAGAAAGAGCTATTAAAGATTTATTAGTAAAATTTGTATTTTCACTATTATTATTTTTAATAAATATTTTTATATATAAATTCAATATTAATTATTTACTTGAAATTTAATTCAAGATATTTCAGTTTAACTAATTATTCAAGAGATTACGTTAATGCCTCAAATGTTCTATCTGTAAAGCTAGAATTATATCTTTTTTTTTTTCGAAAATAAAGAATATTAAAATAAAATATTATACATCATAACTATAGATAAATATTGAAGATTAGTTAAGTTTTTTATTTAATTAACTAAACTAATCATAGCCTAATCAGTAAATTTATTATTAAATCTAATTTATAACAAAATAAAATATAATAATTAAATTATATTTATAACAATTTTACGCGCAATTTATTCGTAAATCTTATAATCCAGTCATATTTATTAAAGTTTGATATAGATTATCTAAAAATTAATCACTTATTCTTTTATTACTTCTATTTATATTTATATTTATATTTATATTTATATTTATATTTATATTTATATATATATATATTTAAATAAATATAAAAATAAAGTAAAATTAATATAATTTACCCAAATTACAAAACTAGTGTATTTAAGTTTTTTCCAACGGATTAAATTTATTTTAAAAGATTTGAGGCACCTAAATTAGTTATTTAAATTGCATTCCTTTTTTTGATTTTGTTTTAATTTATAATAAATAAAGGAAAATTAAAATACCTTAAATTCAATTGTATATTTTTTATATTTTCTTACTAACTTAAAAAAACCCCTAACGCTTATAAGCAATAATCATTAAAATAATGATTTTATCTATTAATTTTTTAATATATATTATATAGTTTTTATAAAAAATATAAATTATAATTTGTACTAAAAATTAAGACAAATTTTTTCTAGTAAAGTAAGTTCATTTAATGCCTCAAAAAAACTTATAAATCCATCTTATTATATTTTACTATTCTACCTATATTTAAATTAAATTTTATATAGTTTAATTAAAAATGTTTAATATAAAATTACATTAATTAGATTGATAAATTCTTTAAGTTTTTTAAATTTTTAATTGAATTTTCAAAAAGTTTTAAACCTTTATCTTAAATTTAGTCTTTACTAAAAAATTGTAATTATAAATAAAGAATATTTTCTTTTTATATATAAATACCTAATTATAAGATGAAATTATTCTAAATTCTATATTTTCTAAAAACATACTTGTGCTTTGGTGAATATTTCATCATTAAAATTATTTTCTTGATGTCTATAATAAAATTTATTTTTGTATATTTATTTTTTTATTACGTTTTAATTTATAAATTCTTAATATTTTCTAAATTCTATATAGTTTCAAAAAATAAATTAAAAAACATTTAACCAGCATCCAATTTTTCACTTTTATATAAAAGTATTTTTAAATAATATATTTAAAAAACATTATTTTTTATATTCATATTATTATTACTCAAATATTAATTAAACTTAAACTAATTATTTAAAATCTTTAAAAAAATCTATTAATAGTGCATTATCAGAACTAATTAAATAACTGAAAAACCTATTTATTTTTATTTTATTTTTAAAAATAAACATTCTTAATTTAACTAAAATTATATTGAGACTGATTTTATAGTTTGAATTTCCATAATACATTCTTTTATATTTTTCAAAGAACACTAATGTGAATTTTAGATACTTTTATAATTTTTTTAGTTTTATTTATTAAAGGTTTTACTTTAATTTAATTGTTAAATCCTCTAAAATTATATTTTTTTTAGTAATTCAAGTAATATAGTTAAATCTTCATTGTTGAGATTTTTTTTACAACTTTTTTTTTTAATTTATATATATATGTAATTAATAAATAAAAATTTAAACCTTAAATCAAGTTTTAAAATTTTCGAATCTGTAATAAAACTTCTAAATAAAGCAAGATCTTTAAAGGCATTTATATCAATTTTTTTAATCATTGTTATTAATCTTTTTATTTATTTTTATATTTATAAAATATAAATTAATAATTTTTATACTTTGTATTTATTAAATATTCATTTAAATATGGAAAATTATTTTAAGTATTACTTATCATATCGGCTAATTATTTACAATGTTCATTTGATTCCAAATCACTTATTTATTTTTTTGATAAGAGAAAAACATTTATATTAAATTAATTAGAAATACCCAAAATCTAATTCTAATTATTTTAGAAAAGTAAAATGTTTTAAAGAATTAGTTATTTATTATATATCTTCATCATTTAAATTAACATATCTATTGAAATCAAATGATTAAAAATATATAATTATTTGTTTATAATACCTGAGAAATAATGATAATTTTTAAATATCTAATATATCTTTAATTTTATCAAATTCTTATAATTTATTATTTTCTGGAGATAATTTTCTATTATTAATAATTATATGTAATATATATATATATATATATATATATATATATATATATAATTTTATTATATATATATATATATATATATATATATATTATTTTATATATTTAATATATTCTATTTTTTTTTAATTCAAATAATACCCTAATTTTATTTATAGTATTTTTAAAGATTTGCACTTATAAATCTTTAGAAATACTTCATTTATAGCAGATTTTTCTATATTCGTCATATCTTAACTTTGTTTTATTAATTTAATAAAAGTTTATTATTTAAATAATTTAAAAAATTCTATTTTTACGGCATAATAAATATTAATTTTTCTAATTTATTCCAATATTAATCAGATATAATCGTTTAAAAAGGCTCAAACTGTTCTTTGGTAAATTATTTTACTTATCTGAAATGATTTTATATTTATTTAATATTAAATAATAAAGTATTTTTTTATTATTATAAAGATTTTATTAATTTCTTTAAATAAAAAAAAAATAGTTACTCTAAGTCAAGTTCGAAAAATTTGAGAAATTTGCTTTTTTTTACTTAATCACATAGACCTTAAAAAATATTAAAGTCAATTAAATTTTTAGTGCTTTTTTATTAATTTTTTGTATTAAAAAAAATTTTAATTATAAAAAATTTTGTTAAATTAAACGTTTAAATAATTTATATATTCAATTATTCAATTTCCCCATTATCATTTATATTTCCTGTAATTTTTATATTTTCCTAATTAATTAAAATTAAATTAAATATATTATATTAAATACTGAAATAAATTTATCATATATATCCATTTTTAATAATTTTTTTTTTTTATTTTAAATAAATTTTTAAAACTTAAATTATCAATTCATAATTTTAAGTTTTATAAATTATGTGTGTGTTTTTTTTTCTATTTAAATTAGATTTATAAATAAAATATTATTTTCTTTAAAAGCAATTATATTGAATATTTATTTATTATTGTTTAATTATTTTAGCTTATTTTTAAAGGTTTTTTTAAAAATGATTTGTAATAATATATAAATATATTAATAAATAAATAATAAAAAGTTAGATATAATAATTATTAATATATGTAATTTTTATTTATATAATTAGTTTAGATTTGTTAATATACTATTTATAAAATATATTTATTTAATAATATAGAATCTTTTCTTTAAATATATTATAAAAATTTTAAAATAATTAAAATCCTTTGAAAAGTATAAATTAAATGTTTATACATATTTTTCAATTTTTTTAAATTTTATTTTTTAAAATTAAATAAAAACTAATATACAAAAAAAAAAAAAAGTCAAACAAATATATAATATTTCTATCTAAATAAATTAAAAATATATAATATATTTATCTCTTATATAAAATAATAATAAAAATAATAATTTAATGAGCTTATTTAGCGCTAACACAAATCAAACAACAGGCTTATTTAATAATCCTGGAATAGCATAAACTTAAACTCCAAATTTATTTTAAAATAATAATTAAGGAGGAGGTTTATTCCAAAATAATCCAACACCTCCAACTGGTGGTGGTGGTATATTTTAAAATACACCCCAATAACCAGCGGCTGGTGGTATTTTTACAGCCAATCCATTAGGAGGAGGAACAGGTTTAATTCAAAATACGTAATAATAACAAACTTTAACAGGATTAAATTTATAATAACAATAACCTTAAACACTAGGAGTAGGTATTTTCTAACCAGCTTAAAATACATAATAAAATACTACAGGAGGAATATTTTCAAACACATAATAAGGAGGTATATATATTTTTTTCTTAATACTTTTTTATTATTATATATAATATTTACAAAATTGAACAAATAATATATATATATATAAATATATATATATATATATATATATATATATATATATTGCATATATATTTATAATTAAATATACATATTTATATTATTAGTATAATAATAGCAGCATTAATAAGGAAATAAGTTGTTTTAATAAAAATTAAGTGGAAATTCTGACGAATGGAAAAAATTAAAAGCGCATTTTATCACCGTCTAAAATTGGAAGAAATAATTAGATGATAGTTCTTAAACTGCCATTATAAGTGAATAAAATTAATATTTACATAAACCAGTAAGTTAATTGCCATAACCATATATAAAGGCAATATAAGTTATAGAAGGTAAATTATAATCGAGATAATAAGAAATAAAAGAATGCCAATAAGTTTAAAAAAACATAATGAATTCGATTTAAAATACAAAAAAAATAATTCAGGAATCGTCTCTCGAATTAAAACAAACTCTTCAATTATTAAATAATATATAGTAAGAACTAAATGACCTTATTTCTTTATAATAGGAACACTAGATGTATTTAAAAGCATTTTTTTATCCTTTTTGTTACTCTTATGAATAAAATAATTTAAAATATATTAATTTACCTTCAGAGTTTGTTGTTAAAACTAAAGAAAGTTTTTAATTAAAATTAAATAAAAGTATTAACATGATAAATGAAATCGAATAAATGCTTTTAGTGGAAATATAAAATAGAAGCGAAGAAGAGGAGATTCTTTAAATTTTTATTGTATTAGATTAACTTTTCTAATATTTTAATCAAATTGCAGCTGTAGTTTATGAATTTCATAAAGACTACGAAGAATTCAGAAAAAATGCAATTGATGAAATTTCTAAACACGATTTTTCTTTTTAATAAAATCTTAATTAAAATGTAGTGGAAAAGCTTCAAAAAGAAAATAAAAATTTCAAATAATTGAGTAATATTTAGGAAACTTTGGAAAAATAAATTAGGTAATTTGAAGAAAAAAATATTAAAATATGAACTACATTTTTTTTTTTTTGGTTTTTTTGGTTTTTTGTTGTTTTTTTTATCTTTTATTTTATTTTATTATTTATTTTAAAATTTAGTGTTATTTATATTATTAAATTATAATTATTTAATAAATGTTCATATTTTATTGTTAATATGATCATTCAAACTTATTTATAAAAATTTGGATTATTATTATTATTTTATACTGATTTTATTCATTTTTATATTTATTAAGCTTTTTTATTTACATAAACATCGTAATATACTTATATATTTATGTCTAAAAAGAAATTTAATTCACTTATATATTAAGTTATTTTATATTTCAAACTCTGTGATAATTTGATAATGATCTAAAAGATAAATTAGAAGAAATAATTAGGCAATTAAATTTTATTTTAAATGTGTTAATTTTATTTTTATAATCTTATAATGGAAAACTATATATGATTATAGTGATTTTAATAATTATATGCTTTATATTATATTTTTTACAATAAATTTAAATTTTATTATTAATAGTTAGTTTTTTAATTAAAATGGTTAAAATCTAAACTAACTTTTTTTTTTTTTTTTTAATAAAAATTAAATAAACTGTATATAATTTCGAATATTTATTTTATTCATATTAACTTTTTTGTTTTCTGAAAAAAATTAAAGAATATCAAAATATTTGTTTGTTTGTTTTTTTTTTTTTTAACGATAAAAAATAAAGAATTTTAAACAATTAATTAATATACATATATATAAATAAAATTTTATTTAACAATTTATAATAAATATTATATCCATTTCTTTTAATGATTAAAAAATATAACTCGAATTAATCAAATAAATAAAAGTCTTAATAAATAAATAGTTTAACGCCTTAAAAATATTAGAAATATATAAATAACTAAAATAACATTTCGGATATATTATATTCAAAGGTAAAAAATTTTATTGTTATAAGATTTTAGACTAAAATAAAATTAAAAATAAGTAAAATTATATTCTGAAGAATGCTAATATTCTTAAATAAATAACAAATCATATGATACTATTCCGTTAAATCTAGTTTAAAATATTAAGGATAATTAATGAGCAAGTAAATTATAAATAAATTAATATATATTATTATTAAATAAAGATAGTATATTAATACAAAATAATTAAAATTAAATGATATTATAAAATAAATAAAGATAATGGACTAAATATAAAAAACTATATTTTAAATGAAGATATATCATTATATAAATAAGAATAAAAGCAAAAATAAATTTAAGAAATTTTTAAAAATAAAGAAAATAGAAATGTTATTTTAACAAAAAAGGAATAAAAAATTTATGAAGAATCAAAGTTTTTTTTCTCATTTTAATATAGAAAAATTATATGAATTTTTAAAATAATATATTATATATTATTCAAAAAGTTATAATGATTTAATTACAAATGAAAGAAAACAAATTTAAATTATAATGAATGAATATAAATAATTTATTGATAAATTACTTATTGATAAAAAGTAATTAAATCAGCAAATACTATAATAAAATATTTTTATTTAATAATTACAATAATAAAATGAATGTTATAAAAAGATAAACTATAAATTATAATTCGAATTAAATTAATAAAAATAAAATGTATAAAAATTAAATTTAATATTATTTTTTAAAAATAATTTAGTTATCAAAAAATATTAAGTTATAAAGAAATGTTGATAATAAAAATTATGATTCTTTTAATGTAAATAAAATTTTATTACTTAATTTATTATTTAGTGAAATAGGAAATAAAAAAATAAAAATAATTTTAGAGCATAAAAAATAATAATAATTGTATAAAAAAGATAGTTAAAGCGCAGATAACATAATAAATAAAACTCAAAATTAAAAAAGATCAATTAAAAATAAAAAATGAAGAATGTTATTATATTAAAAATAATAT